CCCTTTTTATACCTTCTCTCATGTTAGTTTCCTTGTGCCCGTCTTACACTTCCAGGCATCGGTTTTGTTTTGTTTCGATATGGTTTTCTTTTCTTTTTTTGTTCTTTTTTTGCAGAATGAAAAACTTCTTGATTCCTTTCCTCTTTGTGGCGTGTGGCTTTTGTCTTTAGTAATTCCATGTTTTTCCAATTTCATCCAGTTTGTTCCGCAAAGATAGTATGCGATGATTTGATTATGATTAATTTATTTTGGCAATTTTTTTTCTCCTTTCAATCATTATTACTGCGTCTCATGTATTTCTGCAAGGGGTTCATTTAAATGAATTGATTGGAAGCCTGGTTATTTTATTCATTCTACGTTGTTGGTTTCTTGCATAGTAATTTCTTGGCTTGATAAGTTGGTGACCGCAATTATTTTTTTTGCCCCCCAGTGGCGAACCCCAAATAAGTTATCAAACATAGGAAGATAGATAGGGCATTGGGAAAGAGATATATATACCTATGGAAAAATTCAAATGGGAATGGGAACACACGTCCCAAAGGAAATGAGAAACACCGAGAAGGGGAAGGGGAAGGGGAAGGGGAAGGGGAAATAAAAAATTAATACGACGCGAGCAGGATTCGAACCTACGCCCCCGAAGGGAAGAGATAGATTAGATAAGACATAGAGTCAAATTCTAGTCTCTCGCGTTAACCACTCCGCCATCGCGCCTATTTTCATAGAACGAATATCAGTTCAAGGGAATTATGTATGTATGAGGAGCGGGGTATTTAGGCCAGGCCATCCGCACATTTATGAGAACTTAAACATTCATGCCAACCACCGCAAGAAACCCGCCGGAATCAGAACCTCTGCTTAAATGTACCTTGGTCTATCAGTTAAATTATTATCGTCTCACTCGCTGTAGACATGTACAGTGCATTGTGAAGTCTAGGACACACGATTCAATGGCAAGAGATGTGCGGAGAATGCGCGGACTGCCAGTGGAAACTGGAGAGATGGCAAAGCAACGCATGACCCTTCATTCTGTGAACTCCAAAACAAAGCATTCATATAATTTTTTAGGTGTCGGCAGCTTGTCAGCGTTCACCGCGCTTACGTTCATCTGAATGTTCATATATGAGTTCAGCTGTATCCAGCCTTCTCACATTCCATCAACCAGCAATGAAGGGAAGCCCACACTTTTGGCTCGCACCCATGCTGAAGAAAAAAGGGGAACACGATGCTCAGGCTTTCAGATACCCGAGCTCAACAATTTATGAGTTAGGTCAGGGCCTGTGAATTTTCAATGCTGATCTTGATTCAAATGGGCAACAGCCGCAGTGACTTACTTGATCCTGTACAGTGCCCCATATTTGATCTTGGACGCGAGGCAGGTCATTGCCGGAACTAAGTATGATACCGTCATGTTGTCGAGAAAAAAAAACAAAAAAAACAAATTTATATTGGCGATTTTAAGCCAGCGAAGGGCTTTTCTGTGCGTGGATGGAGACATTGGCAATTGGCTGACTTTCCTTATCTTCTCGTTACAATCATCACCAAGCTGGTTTATCCGGCGTCCATCTCGGATGGAATGGAATGAAATTATCTTGCAGATTTTGTTAATTTTTAGAATGCAGCAGACAGTTTTTACTGTGAACTTTTTAAGCTATTTTCCCTGATAGCTTCTTCTGTTTCTTTTTTTCGCTTGATTCCCCGTGGGCTCTGATATTAAAAACTCAGAGGGGGGGCTGCCATCTCAGTCGCAAATGCGTTTGTTTATTATTATTCCTTGTGTTCATTTATCGTCCTGGCCATCGCTTGAATACTTCACCGAATGTCATAGACTGGTTGCTTAAACATTGTATTCTTTAGTTTCTTTCTCAAATCATTTCGGCCTCTCAGAGTCTCTCTAAAACCTCTGGGTACCATCGCTTCCGCCATCGAAGCCTGCAGTGGTCGATAAAACCCCTGGAACTCAACCCTTCGATTTAAGGTGTTGATTTTCTCCTCTTCTTTGATTTGCTTTGTATCTCCTGGCTGGCGCCAACCATTATTCTACTCTACTTGGATTTCTCGAGTGGGATCATCAGTTCCGGCGCTGTCTGCCGTCTCCCATCCTACAAAAGATGATATCAATATCTAGGAACATGTTCCGCTCCAGCATGCGAAACTAGATGACAGGGACCATGACGATCTTGGGATCGCTACAGATAGCAGCGAAGGAGCTAGAGGTTTGGTTCACTATTATTGCCGGTAGTCTCAACCCAGATCTCGCTATATTACGAGCTGCCAGCAAAATAGAATTTCCGACGAGCCATTTCGTGACATACCTCGAGCTCTTCTCCATAATTGTTTTTGGAACCCCCACATTCTAGGATTCTCCAAGAAGGGGGGAACGGCAAGTCTCCCTGGTACATACCACCAAGACTTTAGCTCCAGGCATTTCATGGTTTTCGATGTGCTGCTATGTGCTACCTAGCAACCTGTTAGATCCAGCCATCGCCGTTCTTGCCATCACTCAAACATCAATTCTAATCTGGGCAACTGGGACAAAAGCACAGAGGATCGTCTCAAGGCCAGGAATATACTTGGCGACGCTGACTGCGCCCTAGTTGTATAATCGATGGCGTGCTCGCTCAGAACCTGGATCCAGAGGCAGAAGACCAAGATGATGGATTTGAAACAAACGCTGGTAGCCTGGTGCTATGGCCAACACAAAATTCATGAGCCTACAAAGCTATTTCCCCAAACAACAAACAGCTGGTCGCAGAGGCATCTTCCCGTTCCTCAGACCCGTATACGCCACCCCAGTTCTTGTGCAAATGAGCAAAAGTTCCGGCTCTGGTCGTCCGGGTCACAGTTCAGGCACACTCCTCCGAGGGAACTGCTGTAGGTATATACGGCTACCTCAGGTTCAGTGCATGCACGGTTATTAGCGTAGGCTACGGCATGTCCCGACTGTCCCACGCTCTAAGTTCTCACCACCTCCTTGCGATCTCAGCACGGTGATCTGGATGATGAGAATCGGGAAATCTCATATCGCGAGAACCACTTATGGGAATGCTCATTGATCCCGCCGATGCGGCGGAGAAAAGGCAGTGCTCACGATCCTCGTGAGGGAATTAAAAGCCCGCCAATTCCGGAGTGTCGAAACAATACTCTTGCCGCCATAGCTCCTAAGTCCGGGGGGCGTGGGTTGGCTGGAGTATACCGAGGCCTCACACGTTCTAGATTTCTGGCTGCTGACTGTTCTTAGAAACACGGATTTCACCGCCATTGTTTATTTTTTAAAGCAGGGGTTAAGCCGGGGGAGATTTAACTTGCCGTCATTATTCTCTTTTAAAATTTGCATTCAACAAGATGAGCAAGGGCTTTTTATGAGGGTCCTATATTTGAGCGACGCTAAAAGTGAGAAGAGGGCGCCATCCCCGAAGCGGCAACAGGCCTACCAGCCTACAAATATAGAATTTATATGATCTATTTTCTTTATGCACAGTAGATAAAAACAATCTCCGACAGGGAATGTCTATGCATTATGGCTCCAGGCGGGTTGCGCGTGTTCTTGCAGGTTTTTGACGGTGGCTTTCTTTTACAAAGATCACAAAAACGATGAGGTCTGGCGATTTGATTTTGCTAATCCGTAAGCCAGATATTTAAAATCAATTAATAATCTAACTACTACTGAATGGCCCACGCACGGGTTTCATTCAGACAGAACCTTCTTGAAATCAGATAGTACCTAACTCTTTATCTCCAAATCCAAATCTCCAATCCCGTCTGCCATTGGCATGGATGACATGAAGAAAAAGGAACGTCGAGGGCCGGCAGCGCGTCCTCCGCCACCAGCGTTGTATGATACACGGGCATGCTTCACCCCATACGGAGTATATGTGCCATGAAGTTCTTCAAGGAACGATTAGCCGAGCCGAATTATTTTTCCAGGGGTCTTGGGAACTACGCAGTAGGCGGAAATTGATAGGGCGCCATGGCAGTAACAACAACAGACAAAAGCTGACAGTTAGATAACCCCCACGCCGAAGATTTTTCCGGGCCGAAATTTGGAAACCATCAGCATTGATGACGAACACTACTAGTAATATGGAGTAACTAACTAACTTAACTAAATGGACATTTTACTAATTTCCTTTTTTTTTTTTTTTTTTTTTTGTTTATTTTCCCCAGCTGAATGTTTTCTTCTTTGATTCGTGGGCACATCTTCTGCTGCTGCCTTTTAGAGAGAAGCAGTTCTTCTCAATCTCAATACGCGCCGCCCATGTACAGTACATATGTAAAATAGTATGCAGGTCTTCAGAAGTAGAATTTAATAAACTTAAACACCCCATGTACGGAGTACGGAAGAAGTAGCCAGAAAATTGTCTGTTTTAGACTTAGTTCAACTAATAGCAAAACAACCAAAGAAGGAAATATAAATGATTTGTTCTCCGTATCCACTTGTCACAAAGGCATATGATAAATACTTATCATAGTAGAAAATTCTAGAACTTTAAGGGCAAAATAAAAACGGAAAAAGAAAGCTTGAAAGGCAAGAGAAAAATATATCAATCGTGTACTTCTTAACTACCAGAACACATGGACAATGGGAAAAAGTGGTCAACTGTTGAAAAAGCAAGTGTTCAGACAGACGTCCATAGCATGGATGATATCAACTTGCGAATATGAGAGGAGAAAAGAGAAACCAAACACTTGTATCAATCAAAATCAGGTCAAAGGCATAGAGAAGGGGAAAAAAACATGGAAAAATGAAAAGAATATATATTAATATTACATAGTGGTTGTGACTAAACGAAGAAATGAGAAAAAGAACTGCAAGACGCAAGACTGGACAGAGAAGTGAATATGAGCCGACGTCCAACTGCAAGAGACGAAAAATATGCAAGAAATTGACAGAGGGAGGGCCCAGTATAAGTGGATTTATTCGGTCAACGAAAAGGGAGCGACAAGACACGATTGGAACAATGAAGAGGAGCCATTCATCTCCATCTTATATCTTTTGTCTTCAAGTAAGGGACGACCAGAGGATCGTACGCGATGAAAGATCAAAGTACCGTCCCTGAATGAAGGGCGATTTTCGTGATGGCTTTCCTTTCTTTTCTTTTTTAACAAAAAACAAACATACTGAGATAGGTAAACCAATAACAAAGCAAAGTTTTACGCCAATGCACCAACGCTTTCCCAGGAGTAAATTCAGCGTTTCGTGTGGAGTGGGAGATGAGGTTCATTCTATCGTGGAGTCCGAGGGGGAATCATTCTGTGACAGAGCAGAGTGAAAGAGGGGGGTATATTGCGACAACAAATGGAAATTCCTTGGAAAGGGAGTAAAGTGAAGTTAAGTGCCGATCAGAAAACTCGGTGCCTGTAAGAGGGAATATGTTAGCCCATTGTTTAGAGTTGAAATTGAAAGGGTAAAAATAAATAAAAAAAAACAAATGAGAAATCGTAAGTACATACTGCATGAGAAGATCTTCCAAACTCGCAGAGCTGCAATTTCGTCCACTGGGAAATTGATGGAAAATATCCACTATTGTCGCGAATACGTCGCCGTTTTTATAGGCCAGTAGGGCCGGTGGAGTAACATGTTCCATTTCTGCTATCTCGTAGTGTAGTTTAACGAATCGCGTGGTGGCCTGTTTGCGGGCGACGGTAGCCAAGCAGTCCTCCACAATGTTGCTCTCAGGAGACTGGCACCAATGGGGGATTAGATATTGTAC